GGAAAGATTTAGCCAACGATGAGACATAAGTAAACCAACGACGAAGCATTCGAATATTGTACGAAATACTCGAATGCTGAAACAAAAAGACAAATAGAATGAAAGAAATAAAATCTGGAAGAAGAAAAATAATTAGAACCTGAAAGAAGAAATTATTGTTAAATTATTTAAGAGAGTGGACAATGGCCACTGAATAGCCATTGATCTAGCCAACGATGATACACAAATAAACCAACGACGAAGCATTCGCATATCGTACAAAACACTTGAATGCATAAACAATGAAATCTAGAATAAAAGAAATAGAATCTGGAAAAAAAAGAAAGATAATTAAAACCTGAAACAAAAAGAAAATATTAACGCGGACCTTCCGACGTGGAAGCGACAACTGGCTCGAGCCTGTACGCGGGCCCCTTATATAGCGGCGGCCGGCCGAAAATCAGCGAAAATTTCCGAACTTTACCGATTCCTTTGAAAGTTACTTTTTCGCTGTAATAACTAATAATTTATTAACTTTTTTGACTTTCATCGTTAATATACGTTGCAAACTATTTGTTATCAAGGATTTTAATTTGTTATTAACAATAAATTTATTAATTTATTAACTTTTTGTAAGTTATAAATACAGTTTAATACAAGTACGATATTTGTTGAAGTAGTAGCTAATAATTTATTAACTTTTTTGACTTTTATCGTTAATATACGTTACAAACTATTTGTCATCACAATTTTAATTTGCTATTGACACTAAATTTATTACTTTATTAGCTTTTTGTAAGTTACGAATACATTTCAATACAAATACGTTGTTTGTTTAAGCAGTAGCTAGTAATTTATTAACTTTTTTTACTTTTATCGTTAATATGCGTTGCAAAATATTTGTTATTAACAATAAATGTAGCAATTTATTAACGTTTTGCTAATTATAGATATATTTTCACGCAAATACGTTATATATACTAGTAATAGCCTATAATTCAGTAATTTTTCCACTTCTATTATAAAGTTACGTTGTGACCAATTTGTTATTAGAAATAAGTGTAATAATTTTTACACTTTTGCAAATTATAGGTGCATTTAAACATTAGTATGATATTGTTCAAGTAATAACCAACGAATTAATTCTCTTCTTGTATTATAAATTTACACTACGAAAAATTTATTATTAATAACAAATTGGATTATTTATACATTTTTATGAACTATAACTGTATTTGAATGACGTCATTGCCAAGAATTCCAACCACTAACCTCTCGCAGCCCCAAAAATCGTCAAATGTTTAACTGAAACATCGAAAATTTACAAAAGATAGGAAATATCTTGAACTTTATGCGTAGCTCTTAGCTTGGTATCGTTTTCCAAAAATTATTCTTTCTTTGTGCGTAGCTCTTAGCTTGGTATCGTTTTCCAAAAATTATTCTTTGGAAAACGATACCAATTACCAGGTCTCACCACGAGGAGGTGGCTACGCATCGAGACCCGACATGCGCCCTAGGGGCGCAGCCTGCTGGCGTTACCTGTATCAAAGGTACTCTAATCTAACTTGGAGCGAATTAAGTTAAAATGACTCTACCGACACTTTATAAAATTTCGTGTCTTATCAAAGGGACTTCGATTCGGTATACTAAAATTTATTACTTTACTGTCGCAACACTAACAGGCTCTAATATTTTCAAGTTCCCACAATATTCGGGAATCAAATATGAAAAACGCGAGCAAAGGAAAACTAAGTTAAAATCGCGACGCGCCCGAACGAACTCGCGATTATTCGAAAGACCGACTAGCCGACGAGATGTACTCCCGTGTACAAGACAACTTCATGCCTCGGCACCCTCCCGATCGGTCCTAGTTCAAGTCCAGTCACTGTCGTTCTCGTCAAGACTTACACGTGGACCAAGGATAGTCCCCGAACCCACCGAAACCCCAGAGTCGATACGAGGGTCCGGCGGGGCATTGCAAGCCAGACAGACACTTCGCATCCCAGCCACACGGGGTAGAACTTAATCATCCCTGTGGTCTAACCGTAGACACTATGTCCGTCCAACTGCGTACCCGAACCCCAGTCGCGTACGCGACCGGGGCAGCTGGACCCCCGCATCAAGTCCAGAAGAAACAGTGACCCGGGGGCCACCCTGGAACTCGATGCTTGACGAGATTGACAGTGACTGGAAATGAGTGTCGGAGACGAGTCGTGAGGATGACTTATGAGACGTGAAGTTGTCGAGTACATGGGAGTACGTCGCGCAGGCTAGTCGGTACTTAAGAACAATCGCGTTTATCGCGAGAACAATTATGTTCTATTTGGTAAACGACAGGGATAAGAAGATAATAGAGAATTGAAATATTTCGCTCCAAGTTAGGTAGCTTACCTTTGTACGGATAACGCGCACATGATACTTAGTCTAGTGATCTATCTTACAAATACTTAGGTCTAAACACACGCATCTTGCGTCGCCCATTGATGCGTCCCAAATGAAGTCTCAAGGAAACTTAAGAATTTTGAGAATCCTAAAAGCTAAAACAGAATATATTATGGTTAATATATCCTGAAAGGAAACGGATTAGTGAGAGGAAGGAAAACGAACGAACAGAAACCATGAAGGTTAACCAAGTGGAAGGAACAACCCAGCGATGAGAGAGAAACAAACCAACGAAGAGACATAGACAAATCAACGACGAAACATTCGAATATTATCCGAAATATTCGAATTCTCAAATATAAATAAATAAAAATGAAGAAATAAAATCTGAAAAAATGAAAATAATTAAAGCCTGAAAGAAAAATGTAATTAGAACTTGAAAAGAAACCTATGCAAAACACAACGATGAGATATAAACATCCCAACGATGATAAACAAAAAAACCAACGACGTAACATTCGAATATTATACGAAATATTCGAATGTTTAAATAAAAATAAATGAAACTGGAGAAATAAAATCTGAAACGATAAAAAATTATTAAGAGCTGAGAAAAGAAAAAATAATTAAACCTGTAAATAAAAAAAAAAATTAATTCCTGAAAAGAAAACAGAAATTATTAGTAAATTGTTTAATGGGGTGGGATGAGGGTGGGGTGGCCAGCCCCAACCTCATTTCGAACCCCCACCCCTCGCGCACTACAAAAATTTAGATGTTACACCCACGAGACCGAACCGACAAATGAATTGTGCTGCGTCGCGTCGCCCTTTATATAGCTTCCGATCGGCCGAATTCCCCACTCCGATTAGAAATTTCCGAACTTCACCGATCCCATTAATTCTTCTTTTTCCGCATTAATAACCAATAATTTAGTATTTTTTTCATTATTATTTTAAGTTTACATTCTGGACAATTTGTTATTAACAAAATTAATTTATTATTAAGAATAAGTGTATTAATTTATAAACATTTTGTAAATTATAAGTACCTTTTGACATAACTACGTTGCAAGTCGAAGCAATAACCAGTAATTTATTAACTTTTTCACTTTTATTATAAATTTACGTTGTGAACAATTTGTTATTAATAATAAATTTGATTATTTATACATGTTTTATAAACTAAAACTACATTCGCACTTTCATAGGATAAATTTCTGTGATACGTATATGTATGTCAAAATATTTTTATTTTCTCAATATTTTTGGCTAAAACGAGGTATTACATGAATGGAAAAAACGTTAGAAGATTCATTCTCATCTTAAAAATTGTGTGGGAATTTATTTTTTAATTACATTATATTAAAAAGTAATTCGTATTTACGTATCGAGTAACGAAACTGTTTCGAATTACAATTAATGTAGGGACATTTCTTATAATTTTTCGATTAGTATATAGAAAAGCACATGAAAACATATAAACGTTGTAGATGTGAGAAAAATGAGATCTACCGGATAACGATTTTAGCGTGGATCTTTCGGAAACTGAGGGCGGTAGAGCAATTTCGTTTGCCGATTCATCACGAATCATCACGAATCATCCGCGAAAATCGCCTAATGAATATTAGAGGGAAACGTGAAAATTTGTTGGACAGTGTTATTTTAGTATTTCTACCACTACAATTCGTTATCGATAATCTTAATTATTCTTCTTCTCGTTATTAGTTTTGTAAAATTATCGAATGTTAATGTTTTGAAATATTTTTTCAGGCGGTAGAATTGGCATCGACGAAAGCATTCAAACGTTTCAACGCGACGTTATTGCGAGTCGCGTTTCCAGGATGCAAGCATATCTCGTTCGGTACCGATCCGTACTGGGCATGCACTGCTCGGCACGTGAGCACGACCTTAGGTCATTTCGTAGGAACGTGCAAGATGGCTCCGAGAGGGAACTCAGGTGTGGTGGACCATAGGTTACGAGTGCACGGAATCAATGGTCTCAGAGTCGTGGATGCCAGTATAATACCAACTATAATAGCAGGCCATACCAATGCGCCCGCTTATATGATCGCTGAAAAGGCTGCGGACATGATAAAAGAAGACTGGAGAGTATCCGTTTCCGGAGGGAAAAAACTCGTTTAATGCAACATTCGAAAAATGCGGGGAAACAGATTAAACGTTACAGATCGTTCCTATATCGTCGCACGTATTTTCCTATTATTTATCCTTCGTTGCTATTTATTCGAATATGGCGCGCTACGCCAACGAAAATAACGAAATAATCGATCATTATCGTTGCGTGATAGCGCTTGTACGATTCACGTTGAAAAGCGAATATCGTTGAAAGACGCGAAGAAATATGCATTTGCCGAGAATCCGTGCATATAGAAAATGGATTTATCTTTGGTAGCGATGCGTTCTCTCTTCTATCTACATCGATGCGGCGTATTTACAATGAATCGGAACGTATTTGAATAAATATAGTTGTACAATTAAAACGATTAAAGTTATCGTAAATTGAAAATAACTATTATATCTTTTTAAATACCATTACAAACGACTGGCTTCAAACAGCGCGCGTTGTTTTAAAGTATGGAAAAACTGGCGAAAAAGAGGAAAGGTAAAATGCGTAATATTTGCTGCCAGGAGTGTGCGGTTGCGGCGCCTAAAAATAAATAAAATTTATCGATGATTGAGAACGGAATGCGAACGTTTTCGTTGTATAAAGAACGAAATGCGTAAGAGAAGAAGGAATTACCGTTATCGCTATATCCGACGCACTCGTTGAATTCCGTCATGATATAGTCCTTGGCGCACATGCAAATGCCTGGAAAAAGATAAGTATCGTTAAAAAAGATGCGTAACATCGGCGTGGTTAACGAAAGAGAAAATGAAGGCATACCACCGACGCAATCAACGCTCGTCACTTCGGTGGAGTTGGAGTGTCTGTGGGTCGCGGTAACGCACTCTCTGTGACTTTGGCATCGATTGTTCAACACTGCGAAACGACAATTCATTTCGTTGGTCGAATTCGTTTGATTTTGTCGCGTAGCGATATCGGTATCTACTCACGGCTGTCTCTCAGACACACGGGGCCGCTCTGATGAAAGTTGTCGATGCAGCTGCATTTGCCATTAGGTCCACACACGGTACTTTTCAGGAACATCTGACACTGAACATCCTCGTGACACGGTTCTCCGACCGAGTACCTAGCTTTCAGACATCGCTTGCCGTCCTTCGACAGCACGTGACCCGCTTCGCACGAACAGACCTGCTGGCTGCATCTCGAATTCTCCGCGACGCATTCGTAATCGTTCGTGCACTCGTCGTCCAACTCTGCCGAAGCACGGAAATCACTTCCATTCTATTCTTCGCGTTTCCAAACGAAACGTGTTCACGGTGTTGGGTGTCGCGCGCTTTATTACGTAAATGCGCGAACACGACGAAACGAGTTAGAAACGCTTACCGGCACTCGGTATGCAGCCGTCATTGCGAGGATTCGGATGATACTTCAATGTGCACGCGCAAAATCCCGTCACGCAGTAGCTGTCTTTGATGTAGCAATTCCGATGCGTCTGGCAAGCTTGTCCCAAACCTGAACAAACGATCGCTTTCTTAGTTTGGCTGGAAATTTAAATCCGAGAAGATGACACGAACTCGCGAGTAAACCTTGGAATCGCGTCGTTGGCATAACGAATTCGGGCTACGAATCGGGCGTGCGAAGACGACGAAATAATTATACAGCGTGGCCCTTTATGGACGCGGTAGAGGAAACGCAAGCGTTTCGCAGGAAGCAAAGTACACTCACCTACGGACTCGTAACATCTGCCTTCCACGTAGTGAGAACCGTCGGAGCATTGGCAGATATTTCGCCGGCACTCCGAGAAAGGGGCGAAGGTCACGCGACACTGAATGTCCACTTCGCAACGGTCTCCGATAGCATTCGCCACTGCGAACAAATTCTTCTCCGTTCCATTTCAACTGGCAACAACTCGGTTTCCTCGTTATTTCTTTAAAGGCTAAAGACATTAGGCGAGAAGAGGAGGAAAATATGGTGGATGGTTTGTCGGAGGGACGAGCGGTACGAATCGACACGCTCTAGAAGGCGGGCGACCGTGAGAAAGGGACACGGCTAGGAATACGGACGAAGGAAGATGTTGGTGGAATCACGTTTTCCGAGGTCGGCGACACGATTCCGACTCACCTACGGGATCGGTCGATTAATCGAAACTTTTTACTCCATTCGATCGTCTTTTCCCGTTCCTCCTTCGAACGAAAATACGTTTAGGACGAAATATCCCGACGCGTGGATAACGAGATTATCTTTATTCGAGTGGAACGAGGCCGCGAGAAGAAGTTAAGGGACAGGATGAACTTAATCAAAAGATGACCGTTGAAAAATATCGATAAACGCGCGCGACGTGGTATAAAGAGGAAAGGATGTATAGGATACACAGAAGGGAACGTGAGAACGCGTAACGAGCAGATTAAATAATCGTAGAGCATGGTTAACGGCAATGACGCGGTACTCGAGACGAGGGTGAAATAAAAATTCGAAAGGTTTACCTTTCAGGCACTCCACGTGCGTACGATTCTTATAGACGATATATTCGTCTTTGCACAAACAGGCTTCCTGGTTCCAGCAATAAGCGTTGTTCATACAATCGACGTCGTATCGACACTTTGCCAATGTCTCTGAAAAATTCGCAATCGCGAATTATACATTCTAGCTTGTACTTTGGTCTGGAACACGTTGGTCGTCGACTGTGCTCCGACTACGTGCTCTCGGATTCGTTCGTTCGGCTTACGCGAAGCAATTGTCTAACTCTGCAGGAAGATTGATCGAATTTGCGAAGAATAAGGGTCGCGAGGAGGGTCGGGCGCAGAGGCTAGGGTCGCATATACATACGGGGAGGTGGTGTTCGGTCGCTGCATCGCGGCGGTTGTTCGTTGAGGTTGTAAGAAATGGTCGCGCAGACGGTGACAGGCACGAGGACGAGCAGCCTCGAGATCCCGACCACCGTCCTGGTCGATGTCATTCTCGTACCGCCGTTGGACCGTCTTCCTTTCTGCGTCCTTTCATCGGTCCAAATCGAGCGGTCGTCATTCCCGATGATCTCGAGAAGGATCTCTGCTCGGTTGATCCGGCTCGGTTTAGCCAGCCCGCCGCGGCACGTTTCACGCTTCTTTTCACCTTCTTCGTTCCCTCTGCGTTCCCACTGCGTTCCCTCTGCGTTCTCTCACCGGCCACGCGTTACGCAACTCGACTACACCGAGCTTGGCCGCTCTATTCACGCGCCACGCGTTAGATTCAACGATGACGACGACCACGACAACCACGACCACGACACCACGGCATCGTTTCAGTCGCAGTTGTTCGTCGCTCGGCCCCCTTCATCTACCGCGATTACCAGCGAACTCCGATTAATCGTCCACGATCCTTCTTAACCGTCAGTTCCTCCACGATCGTCACACGATCGTCTCCTCCGAGCAGTCCAAACTTTCAGCTATCGCAGTTTCGACCATCTAGTATTTCTTCACCTATGCGTTCGACCGGTTCTTTTTAAGAAGGCTGTTTCAGAAAAGCGGCTAACTCTAGTCGGCGAATCGATACGGCTCGATTCCCGAAAACGATCCGTTGCCATTGTTACGGAAACTAAGTGGGGCGTGGTTTACCGATCGCCAGTCAAATTGGGTTAAACACGCTCGAACGGTATAGTTTATCCTTTAAACTCGATTAATCCTACTTAGTAGTAATTGATCGCGATTAACCAGACGTTAAGCTTCTTTTTTTTTCATTCGACTCTGGATAACCGTGCGTCACGACGTTTGCCGCGGTAGTTGAACAATCGATCGCACGTATTTTACCGCGTAAGATTCAACAACGTAACAGGTTGTATTACCATCACTGCTAAAAGTATGCGCCAAGTCGATGATTCATCTGTGAATAATTACCCAAGTTCGCGCAACCGTGTGGAATTACGAGTACGCTATGTATCGTACATACGCGTCCATCGTTCCCTGAATTTCGATAAAGTATTTATTTCGGATGAAAATTGCAAACTCGTTTCGTCGGTTTCCGTCAATTTCCTCGTAGAATTTCGTATACGCGACGCGCGAAACGGCGAAGAGTATTTCCTAATAATTACCGATGACGCCTTTTGCGCTCTTTCGACTCGAAGGTTGTCGATCGATGCACGAGTTTAGCGTGCTCCGCTTCCATAGTTTCGGCCTATTACGCAACGAAACTGGTACGTATACACACAGAAGCCATTGTTGGGTCTCGCGTCGGAGTCTCGTTTTCGTCGTTGTCACGTAGCGTTTAATCGAATGATTCTCTCAAGTTTTATACGGTTCTCGTGGGAATGATTTAATAGAGCCCGCGACGTTGGAATCATTGCGCAATTTCGACGCGTTACCATTCGTCCGATATTACTGTTATCGTTCCGGTGTTACTCTACATCCGTCTTTGCGCGTATACAATTGTATCTCGAGCAACGTAGACGTTCGCGATTAAACGCGTTATGCAAACTCGCGAAATTCGTACGCGGCATGGTAAACGTTATCGCGAATCGAAATTTAGATGAGAAATTATTCGTGAACGAGAGAGAAACGCAAAGACGCGATTAAAGGTTAAACGCTGATAGCGCCTAACCATCTTCCAAGAGACGAAGTTCACGACGCGGAAGTTAATCGCGATTCCCGGTATACTCAGAGTTGCCCGAGAATTGCACCGCGACAGATTTTCTCGTACGTTTCGGAGGGTTAAATATTGGCATTGTTTCCGGGTGGAGAGTGACTTCGTAATAGGGTTTCACGCAATAGCGAGCGTTGTTTAAGCCGTACGCCGCAATCCGGCTGCGAGAACAGGGCGATAGACCGAAATATCAGACGTTGGAAGGGAACAATCTCCCTTGTTCTTTAATTATGTGCGGTTCCAAGCCGACATTCGCTTAACTGTGAGAACCAGCAGCGTAGATCCGGCCTCGCCGTGTTTCCCCACGAAACCGAAGAAAGGATCACTCGGTCATGAAGGAACGAAACCACGCGCACACACGCACGCACGCACACACGCCAGACTTTCCGTATAAATTCACTCGTCCCGGACTCTCGAGATCTTATCGACGAAGGGAAGTTCCAGTTCCGTTTTAAACACCGAGTTTGTTAGACGCGTTGCGTTATATCGGACTCGTAGACACCGATTTAATTCGCCTAAATAGCCAGGTCTGTGCAATCAAATTATATCTGATAATCCACGGTGATATAAACGGGTAAAAAATTCGTATAAACGAACAGATATTACTCTTGGAAATCTTCTCCGGATATTTCAAATAACTTAAATTTACTTTCAAATTCTTATTCCAATTGGAATTCTAATTCGCGTTCGCGTGGAAATTTAAACCGGGCATTCGTATCTCGTTTGAAATTGCAAGCGTGGAAGAAGATCGCGAGAATTAAAATTGCACCGGGGGGGAGGGGGGGGGGG